CGGGAGCCGAGCAATCCAGCAGCCTCCGGAACTGGGAAAAGGTGAGGAAACTATCCTCTCCTACAGCCTCCAGAAGGAAGTAGCACTGCCAACACCTTGACTTTAGCCCAGTGAGACCCACATTGAGCTTCTGACCTGCAGGACTGTATGATAATACATTTGTGTTGTTTTAACCAACTAGAGTAACATTTGTTCCCGCACCAAAGAAAAAACCAGTGCAGCTGCTTGGATGGGAATATAGACATATATTGTCTATATGCTGGGCCTATAGACATCTTTATGATGACACCAACGTCAGGCTCAGAGAGACCCTGACAGTGTCTCGGGACGCTGACAGCAGGCTGCAAGGGTGTGGCCTCGGTGAGACCTATAATTCTGAATGGAAGCCAAGGAAGCCACCAGAAGACATCAGAGCACAGGGAGAGAGACCCTCTAGCAGAATGTCTAGATTCTGGCGTGGCAAGTAAGGGGCAGGATGACCGCCAAGGAGGCAACCAATATAAACTGATCAAGACCTTCAGACGGGCATCAACAAGCTCACTGTGTTTCATTTTTATTTCATTGTTTCATTCTGTAAACAACAAGCTATACTTGGGTAATTTTTTACCCTGTCTTCCTAAAACACTTTTGTGCTTATGATAACTAAAAGGAATACTGCCTCACATACATTCTTTTTTTCTGCCTCTTCCCTAAACTATTATCCTTCCACACCATGACAAATGTATCTACAGCATATCCAGTAACTCACATCTTCCACTCATAGTAAAAGATAATATATGAAAGAAGACTCGTGTTCAGCCAGTTCTTTTATATAAATTATATGCATTTATATAATCTTTACCTGAGCAGGCATTTTAAAACAGAACGGAATTTTTAGTTTAACAAATTAGTATCTCTTCTGGTATCTAGAAGACAAATCTTCACACTTATTATTAATATGGACTTTGGCAGCCAAATCTAAGATGCAACATTTTAGAGATTTAAATGTTCTTTCTGTGTTACTTATTATTTGCTAACTTTAAATCCTCATCAAATGTATTTTTTATTAAGAGTGATCCATTCTTTTACATACACTGACCATGTCCTAAAAGGTAACGTTCATATGGATCTTGTACAAAATCAGCCTGAAGAAATTGTCAGTATAAATCTCAGGACCAACATGTTAAAGTACAGTTGTTTTCTGTAGTCATACTGAATTCTGCATATCTCAGCAAAAATTATTCCTTTGTTTAAAAAAGTGTTTTGAATATTGGGAAATATATGCAGCCATTAAAAGTAAAGTTTACAAACAGTTCATAGTGCTTTCAGAAAAGGCCAATGATATGCTAAATGGAAAAAGTAGGATATAAAACTGAACAGAATGGGAGCTCTCAACATTTATAAAATACAGCAGAGGGAAAAAAGACTAGAAGGAAATAATAACAGTAGTAGAATTCAGGACAGTTCTGTTCTGCCTCCTGATGTTTTCAGGTACCTTCCCCATTTTATGCAATGAGCATGTATTGCTCTTTTTCCTTTTTACATTTTTAAATTAATACATGCCCATTGTAGCAATGCATTTCTTTTATAATCAGGGGGGAAAAGCAGAAGCTAAAAATGAAAAGGTCAGTTTGGGTCCTCTCTTAAGGAATTCACTAGTTTAAAAAATGATGTAGCTGAAAATATCAACAGCCTCAAGAGAAGCTGAAATGAATTCACAGTTGGGTCAAGGAATGGAAAGGGAATTCGTGTTTACTGAACACCTACCGCAGGCCTCATGCAGACAGTTTATACATGTCTCATCTCATTTAATCCTCACGTAAGGCAGATACTATGATTATTCCCTTTTAACAGATCTGGAAACAGAAGCTCAGAGCAAGGCCCCAGGGTCACACAGTGAGTGAAACAGCAGGATCTGAACTAGAACTCTTCAGGTTCCACCAAGTTCTTATCTCTACATGGTGCTGCCTCTCAGACCAAAACAGGGGAGCATCCCCTCATTGGGAGGCCAATGGGGGTTGTTCAGTTGATGATGGAGACTGAGCTACCAGCTGTCTTTTTTGTCCATCCCTGGCCACTCCCCTACTAGAAGTCTTTTTCTTTCCCATCCAAACTGTGTCTACTACCCATGTCCTGCTGCAATGAATGTCCAGGCCCTGGAGTGAGAGATAAGGCACCCATCAAGTAGGGGTCAAGAAACATGATGGAAAAGCACCCTACAAAACAGAGCCAAGGAAGGACACCCAGAGAGCTGAGCACCTGCTCAGGTGAGCACCAGGCAAGGGAGAAGGAGGCTGCTGAGCATTGCTCTGCCCCTTCCAGAAGCCCTCCAGGGGCTAGCTCCTGCCATCCCTTATAACCCATCCAAGGGCTACACAAGGTCACAGGACAGCCATGTGGATTTCTGCCCACAGGACTCACAAGGTGAAAGCACATGCCATTTTAACCAGCACACACTCTCCGGGCAGCAGACAGCCCAGCAACACCTGGCCAGTGTCCCTCTACCTAGACAACTGTCAGCCATCAGAATATAACTCCCTAGTTCCAGACATGTGGAAACACTCTCATACCCTTCGACTGGACCCGCCTGCCATCCTTGAAGCCTGAAGACATTTTTCCAGTTATACAATGGAGAAACTAAGACCCAGAAAAACAGAGTCTCAATCAGGAAAGCCCCTGGGTGGAGCCTCTGTCTCCAGAACAAAGTTGTATGTGGGGTGGAAGGTTGAATGACCCAGAACTAGGTTTTCTTTGGCTTCTACTGTGTTGTTTAAATTGTTTCATTAGTTGACAATAGTTCAAAATCAGATTTTACATTACAGTCCAGATTTGGAACTCCTCTTTAAAAAAAAATAAAATCCAGCACATCTATAACACTAGGATTTTCACTCCCCAATGGCAAAATCTGCAAGAACTGTGTGACAGCCACTCCTTTTAACACAGATGACCTCTTCAGACTCTGTGGTCCAGTTCCCACAGAGACCAGCTGCCCAGTTCATCCGTATGTGTTACCTGCCTGGGGTTGTAACCCCTGCAAGAGTCCTGGGAACTGCTGGTGGGAACTTTCCGGTCATCATTCAGGGGCAAAATGAATGAGCATGGGATGCTCAACACTGTAGAGGGAAGAAAACAGAAGCAAGGTGCCAACAGAGGGTGTCACCAGATGTGGAACACAGGCAGGGTCCTCACCACACTGTGAGCTCCTGGATACAGGAAGTATGTGCTTCCAGAGTGTGTCCCCAGCTCGCAAGCACAGAGGATGAATGTCCACAGACACAGGGTCTATTGAGACAGTGCCAGGGGAACAGGATATGCTGTGAAAATTGTGGGATGTCACGGGAGAAGCCCATGTCACCCCAGATCCCCACCCTCATTAGGGTCACTCTTGCTAAGGAGGCCCTGCCATCCCTTGCTGGAGCCCACCCCAAGCACCTGCCAGGACCTGTGACAAGAGTACACAGAAAAGGCGCAGAGGGCATCTGGAGACTGCTGGTGGGACATGACCAGACACCAAAGAAGAGCAGGAATCCCTCCTCTCTGAACTTCAACTGGCGTCAGACAGTGGACTTCTGCCAAGGCTGGATGCAGCAGTTCCCACTATAAGCAATGCCAGCCTTACCCCACTCACCATCACCCCAAAAAACACTCAGGACTCCAGGTTTGTACGGCCACCTCAAGACATCCTTGGACTTTCTGGTGCCAGAACTAGGCGGCCCCCACCCCTGCAACTGACCCCTTTCCCTCCTCTGCTGCACCCAAGGATAGGAGAACCCCAAAAGGTCTCCCTCCAGCACAAAGACCTTCCCAGCACCAGCTCTGACCTTCTGAACCCAGACCAGAGTCATTAAAAAGTCACTCTCTATCCTTGCAGGTACCCAGGAGACTGGCAGGCAGTGCATGCCAAGACAGCAGGATTCTGGGCCCCACAGGCTGGAGGAGGGAGCACGGCCCCAGAGCGTTAGCCAGCCACCTCCTCCCTCCACCACTGCCCTGCCAGTTGCTCCTGCAAGGAATCCCTGCATCCTGTGCCGCCGGCTGTGCCCCTGTATCCTCAGCACTCGGGGGCGCTGGCCTCTGGGTCCAACCCGTGGTTGTGGGGAGCAAAGCAGAGGGAAGGGAAAGCGAGCACGCTGGCAGGTGTCAGAGGCGGACGGAGCCTTAGGCCCTGACCAGGAAGCGGGAGGAGTGAAGAAGGAACCGGGTTCCAAAGTCGCAAGGCAGGTGGGAGGGGAGGGACTGGCAGGGGAGGGAAAAGCAGGGGTGCTGCTCTTGGGAAGCCCTGGCCCCGCACCTGTTGCCCCCGCCGCGAGCCCGCCCCGAGGCCGCGGCTGCGGACGAAGGCCGCGCGGGCGTGGGCTAGGATTCCCTTCAGCCGGGCGGCCCTGCTCCGCTCCTTTCCTGGGCAAACAGCGCCCACCTCCGGCCCTGGCGGCGGCGCTTCCGCCCGCTGCGCGGACAGGGAGACAGAAACCGGCTCCTCCAAAGCCGGAGGAGCGGCGCGGCCGAGCAGCGGGCGGGGCTCCGAGGGGCCGCAGGCTGCGAAACGCGGCGCCCCCGGGCTGTGCTCCCAGGGCCGGAGGGCGGGCTCGGGCCGCGGGGCGCTGCTCCGCTCCAGGCGAGGAAGACACCGGCCGTCAGAGATCAGGGGAGGTGCGCCCGACACGGTCCCGGCGCGCAGACACGCCCACCCGCAGACACCGGGGAGACAAAGACAGCCGTGAGCCACACACGCCTGCGCCGCCGCGGCGCACACTCGCGCCCACCGAGCCGGAAAGGAGACGCACGACCCGCAGGGCGCCCAGCGGGCCGCGCTCACGGCTCTCCGCTCCGGCTCGCCGCCCACAGCGGTCCGGCGCCGCTGCCTGGGTGGGCCCGCAAAGGAGCGCCACCGCGCGTGGCACTGAGGCCGCCCGGCGCACAGGGGGCTCGGCGCGGCCAGCCCGTCGCAACCCGGCCGGTACCCACTGCTGCTCTGCCTCGCAAGCCGCGGCCCAGCAGGCCCTGGCGCAGCGGCCACTCACCTTCCTGCACGGCCTGGAACGGGTTGTTGGCCTCGATGACCTTGATGGAGTAGGTGATCTTCTCGCTCTGCAGGATGTCATCGTTGAGGCTCAGGTCAGATACGGCCAGTTGGAACACCCTGTCGTCCTTGGCTGCGTTCTCCTCAAAGATGGCACCTGCAGGAGACGAGTGGTCATTACCGGGGCCTGGACAGGAACTCTCCCCCACTTCCTTGGCCCTCGGGCCAAGTCACCTGCAAGACCGCTAACAGCAAGGCGGTGGGAGGTCTAGGCTGGGATTTCCGCGTGGCAGAGCAGTTTAAGGCACTCTCAGCGCAACCTGCACAGGATCAGGCTCTCCCCCCCCTCCCCCCAAGCGCACACGTGCACACAGTTGACATGAGTTACACATGCACATCCCACATGCTGCCACCAGGTCACACACGTGTCTCTCAACCAAGACACCACATGTCCCAGCCATGCCCCACACAAGGGACTGAGCCAAGCTGAGGTGGCCTCAGGCAGCACCCAATTCCCTGACAGGGTCCCATAAATCCCATCCCAGGGGCCAGAAAGTCCCCTGGGAGGGCAGCAACCTCCACCCCAATCCCGGCATGGAATAATGACTCTTTTCTGCCATGCGCGTCCCCTGCTGAGTGGAGCTGAGCGAAGCAGGTCTACAGTTGGCTTTCCTGAGCAGAAGGGACTTCCTTCTTCAGGCAGGGGACTGGGATGGCCTGCAGCTTCAATCACTACACACTGCCCAGCCTGGCGCCCTGGGCTCAGCCTCCTGCTCTCCGTGCCTCCCCACTCCCTCTTCCTGGATGTATGTCGAAATGAGTGGAAGGAAGGGACTGTCCTCCACGTTCAGCTCTAGCAGGGCTGAGGGTCCCAGACGGAGCTGCTCTTTAAAGGGCCTTCTAGAACAGCGGACAGCTCCTCCAGGGCGCCCTCCAGCTCGCGCTTCGCCTTTGCGCGGGCAGCACTGCTTCGGCGGACCCTGCGCTTCCAGCCGAGATCCGCCGGGCTCGCCTGCGCCTGGTCCCGCGACCTGAGCAGCACTGGAGTCCCCACCCCCACGCAGCCTCACCAGGCCCTGAAGGTCCCCGAGATCCTGGGGCGAAGCCCAGTGATCCCCGAGCTGGGGGCTGGGCAGGAGGAGGGAGGCCCCGTTCCTCGCCACATCCGGAGCCGCAATGCTGACCGCGAGACTCGCGCCCTCTCCAGGGCGGGAAGCAGGTTTGGCCCCGGGGCCCTGCGGGGGTCGCGGCGCTCTCGGAGCCTGGGCCCAGTCCCACACCACGGACTCCACCCCCCACCGCGCCTGTCCCTTCATCCCCGCCTTCTCACACATCCCAACCCCCGTTTCTCCGTGCTCACTGGTCTTTCCCAACTTCCGGAAAGGCGACTGCGGAGGGGCTCCCCCAAAGCAATGGCTGTCAGCCCCCCAACACGGCCCAACTTCCCCAGATTCCTCCCAAGCTGCTCCCGACTCCCACCCGCTCCCCTCCGCGGCCCCTCCTCCTCTGCTCTCCCATCTTTCTCCCTCTATCCATCTCTTCCCTCTCAGCGTCCCCGCCCCCGCTGCCCACGCTTCTTCCCTCCGCTCCCACCACCCAGACCGTCTGCTGGCCCCAAGACTTGGACCACGCAAAACTCTGGGACTGTCCAGGATTGGGCTGCAGTCGCCACAACCAGATACACACACACCCACACATACACCGAGAGCTACACAGACACACACTGGGGAGCAGGCAGGCGCTGTGTCCACTCTAACAGGCTGACAGTCGTGCACGCACCAACACACGCTCAGATGGCCCCACACACCCCAACGCCCTCTCAGTAACACCAACACTGGGCCAGCCGCGCACACAGCGACACACGCTGACAACACCCCCCACCATGTTCACACACGGCTCCTGTCCGGCCTCTTTGATCTTGCCCTGCCAACTTAGCGAACCCCCGGGCCGTGCCCGCCGCCGGCACCCCGCTGCTCTGAGAGGCGCTGAAGGGCCCTCCGGAGCCCGTCGACGGCCCGGGTAGCGGCGCGGGTCTCGACGCGCGTCCATCCCGGTGTTCCCCGAAGCCGCGGCCCTAAGTGCCGGCAGAGGCCGCGGGGCCCCGCGCGGAGATCAGAGCCCCGGGGAGCCGCGAGCAGCCCGCGGGAGCGCGGCGCGGCCCGTGCACAGCTCCTCCGCGGGGCGGCGCGGCGCGGCCCTTCGGGGGAGCACCGCCCGCGGAGCCCCTCGGCCCCGGGAACCGCCAAGTTTGGACGCCGCGCACCCCCTGCGCCGTTGGGGCCCCCGCCCAGCCCCAGCCCGGCCGCCCGCCGCGCTCACCGATGTGGATGATGGAGTCGGCCCGCACCGACACGCACTGGCATATCCAGGGGAGAAGCCACAGCGTCAGCGCTTCCATGTCCCCCGGGCGCGCGGCTCATCCGCCCGGGCCCGGGGCGAGGCCGAGGGCAGCGCGGAGCGGGGAGGCGCTGGTCCCGGTGCAGTCCCGGGCCGCTCCCCGGGAGAGCCGAGCCCGCCCGTGCGTCTTCCCCCGCGCGCCCGCCCCTGCGCCCTGCGCCCGCCCCAGCCCAGCCCAGCCCAGCCCAGCGCGGTCGGGCTCCCGCTCCCGCTCCGGTGGTGGCTGCGGCGGCGCTGGCAGCTTGAGCCCAGGCCGGCGCGGCGGGGGCGGCCCGCGGCGGTGGCAGCGGCGCTTCCCGCGGCTAGAGCGGCTTCGGGGGCGGCTGAGGCGGTGGCGGCGGCGTCCGGGCCGGCGTGGCGGCTCCGGGCTGGCTGTGTGTCTGAGCCCCGGCGAGGAGCGAACTGCGGAGGACGCCCCCTCCCCTCCCCCTCCCCCTCGGCTCCGCTCCCCCTCCCCTCCCTGCCCGCCTCCCCTCCGCCCTCCTCCCGACCACGTGACTGCGGAGCCTCAGCCTCGCCGCGCGGCGCTAGCCCGCTCGCGGCTCGGAGGGGGCGCCGGGTGCTCCGCGCTCCTGGCCCGGGGGACGCTCGGAGGCCGGCACGGCGGCGGGGACTGGCCTAGGCTGCAACGCGCGGAGACGTGGCGGTGGGGGCCTTGTTCCCCTCCTGGTTAGCGAGGGGCGGGAGGATGGAGGAGGGACTGCTACTGACTGCCCTCGGGGGGCTCCCGGAGCTCCCGGGCGCACGCCGACTCAGCCGCCAAGCGTCTCGGGTCTTGCCCCGGCCGGAACAGGCAGCCCCTCGCGGAGCCGGACCCGCCTAGCCAGGAGAGAGACGCGGGCGGGCCGCTGGGCCAGTCACCGGGATGCGAGAGGACCCAAAGGGGGGCCGGCTGCGGCTGAGCGTCGCGGAGCAGAGCCCTGGCTGCGGGCTCGAACCCTGGCTGTTCGCGAGGACCTCGGCGGGCGCCCATCCCCCGCCCCGCGGGCGGCGCGCTCGGACTCTGAAGCCCAATTCATGGCCGGAAACCAGCGCAGCCGTGACCGCGGCGCCTGGACGTGAGGAGCCTTCCAAGCGGCCGGCAGGCTCAGACTCCGACCCTGCGCGGAGCTTTCACGCGCGAGCCTGAGCGGAAAGCCGGCTCCCTGCGGCCGGAGCCGAGCGGGGCTCCTCCGTGGTCCGTGCATGCCTCCGGCCGGACGCGGCGCAACAGCGTTAGGCTGTTGTCGGCTCATGCCTGCAAGGGGGAGGCGAGCCAGACGCGCAGCACCCCTACACACACACACCCCAAGTCCCAGACGGACTGAGCTCCACGTGGCACACCCAAGATCCAGGAGACAGCTGAGCCCTCCCGGGCCGGGCCGTATTCCGTGGAAGCTGGCTCTGGGACCTTTTGACAGAGCCTCATTCGAGGGCTGCCCCTCCAGCGAGCCCGGGAATGCCCCGCTGGCCTGGTCGCCTGCTGGGCCCCAGGACCCCTGCCGCGCGCCAGGCAGTGCACTGGGCGTGAGGAAAGGCTAACTAGAGCCCTTGCCTAGAGCTCCCTGCGCAGTGGGAGAGGCAGACACCTAAACAGTTCATTAAACGATGTAGGGAGGACTGTGAATAAGCTATGCATGCACAAGCGCCTGGACCCTGACCCATCTTGGGAGGAAGAGTTAGGGATGGCTTCCTGGAGGAGGTGACAGTTCTAAAGGCGAGTAAGTGGAGGTTACCAAGGGAAGAGGAGAGGCTTCCAGGCATTGAGCACTGCTGAGTGAGCCAAGGCAGGAAGAGAAGAAAGAATCGTGTGTGTTTGAGAGAGAGAGAGAGAGTGTGTGTGTGTGTGTGCCCCAAGCTGCCAGCCACAGAGTAATCACTGGCAAATTTCCTTTGGAGAGGCTGGGGAGGAGGCTGTGCAGTGGGGGCCAGTGGAGGCGTGAGAGCTGTGAGGAAGCCCTGATGGGGCTGACTGGTGGGCAGGGGCAGCCTGGGGGGAAGGAGCTGAGTTGCAGAAATATCAAGGAATCCCACAGTCTGCAAGGTAGCCTCCAGGATGAGGCCACCAGTGGGCAAGCAGGGAGGAATGTCCACGCCCACGGCAGACTGGGCTTCTGGGCTGAGTGTGGTCTCACACACACGCAAAACAACGCATGTCTTCTTCGAGAAACCTTAGAGGCCTCCAAAGGTAAAACATGCCCCACCCAGCTCTCCAAACCTCCCATGCCTCCAATTCTCATTCTTGCAAAATTCCACTCTTCACTGGCTGCAAAGTTGTAGGGAGAAGAGAAATAAAGGATGGATTTTTTAATATAACAATGTGGTTCCTATGGGAACTGTCTCCACCTTGGAAGTTTGGTGGTATGGTCTTGACCTGAAGTCAAGAGCCACAGGGTCAGGATACCCTTCACCAGAGGGCTCTGTTGTTTGGGCCCCTGCAGCGTGTTTGGAGAATGGGCATGTGATACACTCAGTTGTCCTTTGTGTATATTTTGCTAGGTGGAGGTAGCATGATTGCAGCGAGACAAGCCTTAAACCTCCTTCCAAATATTAAGAATATAACTCACCAACACACACGTACACAGTTTTGGAACAAATACTAGTTTGCATGATGAGGGAGATGATGGGGTTTCTGCGGTTTGGCACGTGAAGGTCACAACTCAAGGTGGATCCCCTCTGGAAGTCGCTGGCCTGTAGCCACCTCGCCTTCTGTCTCAGGTGCTCCCTTGCCCCCGCTGCCAGGGCATGTGGCCACTCACCATCCCCAGGTGATCACCCCACCCAGCCGGGCCAGTTTTCCCAGCCATTTTAGAATGCCCTGGACATCCCTTCTCTGGTCACTGTGGGCACTGTGCATGCCTTCTCCCAGAGGTGTTTCTGGACTTGTTTTCTGAAATAGAAGGCAAGCCCAGAAACCACTGGGGACCTATACAGACCCACCTCAAGGCAAGGTGTTTTTAATCCTCTGCCACCTAAAGTTGGGATTGCCAGGTTCCAGGGGCATTGGCCAATGTTGAGGGCTCAGTCAGATTCACCAAGCCCTTCATTACTCATTGCTCCTGGTCCAGCCCAGCCCCCTTAATCCCTGATGGCCTCTGGGGCTACAAAATCCGCCTCCCTAAAACCAGCCCCCACTCCACCAAACCAGGGGGAGCAACTCTACCCAATAAGCGAGTTCACCCCCACTGCAATAACCTGGCTGAAGAACATAGATTAGCAATTTCTGGGTCATATGGTGCACACCCACTTCAGAGAGGGAAAAACTGAGGCTCAGAGAAAGGCCTCAGGTAAGCTGCTAGCAGAACAAAGACTCAGTCCTCTTGGTTTGCTCCTCACTACATAAAGACGTATTCACAGAAATTAAAGACGAGTCAGTAAATCCTTCCTTTACACAGAGTTCAGCCAGCACAGGTGATTGCCTTTTCTGAAGAGTTCTTCAATTATACTGATTCTAACTACACTTCTTTAGCACTCACCACATGCAGGCACTGTGCTCACCACCTAACATCTCACCCAGGACATGGCTTCCCATTTTACACACAAGGAAACTGACAGGGGGTGCAAAAAGAGAAACCGAGCCCATCAGGAAGGTCAACGAAAATACCACTGGAAGCAAAAAGTTTGCCGCTGAAGCTGCAGGTAAAATGCCAAGGCAAAGAGAGAGGCCTCACTGGTCCACTTGGAAGCCACGGTCACTGTGACTTAAAGCTTTGTCATTCCAGAAATGCAGACCTCTCCTTTCTCCATCACCACCTTCCTCACCCAGCCAAGAACTGCACTGAGGAAGGGCCAGCTGGAGTCCCAGCCTCCTAGCAGCCTGTCACCCTGGCACAGCCCACTGTAGAAACACCACTGCCGGCCCCTGCACCGGTGCCACTCCTGAAGCATGCCTCTGCTCGTGCCCCCGCCACCCCCGGACTGTGTCTTCCTCCCTGCCCCTCAGTACAGAGCCCACCTGGGATTTCTAGGATGGTTCAGCCCAGGCCCCACATGAAGGGGACTGCAGACAGAGAGACCACGGCCCAGCCTGGGGGTCCCTCTGCAGGCTTTGGCATGGAAGACAGGCTCTCCTGTGTACACTGGGAGGGGCCAACCTGAGTCCTGGGGCCAAGTCCCCAGGGAGGGGTCAGTTAGCATCTTGCAAGGAGTCTGAGTGCCAGGCTCAGCCCTACCCACAGACTCCAGGGAACATCCCACTGCTACCTCCCTCTCATAACCCACTGAATGTTTCCTTTCCTTTTTTAAGAATACCCTTATTTACTGCTTATCTCACCTGCTCCCTCAGTGCTGCCATTGGCTCTCCTGTTGAATGATAATTGTCCCTCTTTATTTTGTCCTCCCTACCACTCCTTGCCAACCTCCGTGATCTCATTTTTACTGTTTTCTCAGCTTGTACTTATTTCATTTGATCTTCTTTGATATTCCTGTATTTTTTGTTTATTTTTACTCTTGGCACCCTAACAGGTTTTCACTTTAAATTTCCCAGGCCAGCAATCTTTTGCATCACCCATTCTATTATCTGAGCCTTCTGTAGATTTAATCCTTGGTTTTCCTGAGGCTGGGGAGGGCGGAGGTGGCATCCCTGCACCACCTTGCCTGAGCCACCAGGGCAGGACCCACTGTTGTGGCCCTGCCCACACCCTCTGCACCCTTCCCGTGGCACTGCCAATGGCACAGTGCAGACGCCCATGGCTGGCAGCCCGGGTCGGGGAGGGCAGACTGGAACCACACCCCACTGGAGCCATGCCCCCGGCCAGTGAGGAGGGAGAGACTCACACGCCGTGTGTCCCCCCTGCGTGGGAACACCCACCCCGTCTTTCCACGGCAAGGCCCTCTCTTTGTCCCCATCATACAGCCAGGAAACCAGCGCTTGGGACAGGTGCTCAGTCTGCTTAGAACCGATGAATGCAAAAAGTTACCTGTATGGCCAGGCGCGGTGGCTCACACCTGTAATCCTAGCACTTTGGGAGGCCAAGGCGGGCGGATTGCTCAAGGTGAGGAATTCGAAACCAGCCTGAGCGAGAGCGAGACCCTGTCTCTACTATAAATAGAAAGAAATTCATTGGCCAACTAAAACTATATAGAAAAAATTAGCTGGGCATGGTGGCGCATGCCTGTAGTCCCAGCTACTCGG